AACAACCTAAATCTCATTAAATTATATGGAGTTTTACTTTTCTTCATTTATTTTTTGTTAATCCGACCATCCGAATTCGAAACAATAATAAAATAAAAATAAAGAAAGCGTGGTTATACCAATTAAATAATTTGTATTTAGAAACACATGTATATAAATTCAAAAGATTGAAAAAGGAGTAAAAATAGTGTTTATTTGAGTTAAAGATTTTGTGTAGTTGGTCCACAGTAAAAGATGAAGTACGCGTTGGTGAGAAGAAAAAGATACGTAGAAATTTGGTTTGAGGAAAATAGAGTTTTAGTTTTCTCTGATTAGTCAAATATTTCACATGGTGTTGTTAATTTCTAACCAATAAACACTTTGATTTAAACAGTGTGCTGTATCGTGGAATCTTTGGGGCATGCTTGTAAATATTGTCTGTTATTGGGTAGAAAATAAAGTTTGGGCATGTTTTATGGTATGCATGGGAGTATGTAATTGTGTTGGAGATAGGAAGTATTTACAATGAAGTATACCCGGAATTTTTTTTTTAAAATATTCTCCATGGACGTATAATTATAAAATCTATATTCATGTCAGTAGGAGGCACGGCAGAGTAATGGATGGAGGAATCGGAGAGCCGAGTTCGAATTCCAGTCGAATCCATTCACTTACGTGCTAATACCCTTGGAAAAGGTATGAATCCTCTTCTTCTCCCTTAGCTATGGGTAAATTAAATAACCATGGATTCTATAGGCATGGATGGCAACCTACTGCCAAAATCTCTCTCATTTGTCATGTATCGAAAGATACATGATCGCCTAAGCGTGTATTACGCATGCCACATAACTGACTGATATACATGTCAAGTGCTCTTGTTCATTTTCCTAAGTTTTTTGTAAAAACAATATATTTTCCAGAATGTTATAAAAAAGAAGGAATTTTTAATACTAAGTAATAAAATGATTTTAAAAAAATGCATAAATTCTTAAATCTTAATGTTTTATTAAAATCCAATAATTACCTGATTAAAAAAAACAAGTTTTTCGTTTAAAAATGTTCTAAAGAAAACAGAAGCATACAAAAACTTCACTTTCTACTAAGGACGTTTATTCATTTTATAATGACTTCACTTTCTACTAAGGACGTTTATTCATTTTATAATGACTTCACTTTCTACTAAGGACGTTATTTTTATAATGACTGTCGTGAAACCAAGTTCTCAATGTCTCTTGGGTATTTTCCGTTTTCTTTTTTGTTTCAGAAGTAAGGATAAAATGGCCGCCCTCAAGACAGCTTTGCACTGAGTTGGGACTACCAATCCACTTACATGACGTAAGGGCTGCCGAAACACGTCTGTACGTTGTCGTTGAAAAGAGAAAGATTCTGAACTTTAAGGAAGTGGGGTCATAAAATTGAGCCTTTGACCAGAAACACCTTCCGGTTCCTTTATTATTTGCATCATTGGAAAATGAATTTTTCTTCCAATTTTTTTCTTATTTATTATTTTATTTAATAGTTTTATTTAGGTACCTACAAAAATATGATATCTAAGGTTTAAATTGAATTTTTAAAATTCAAATCTTTCTTGACACTTTTATTTTAGTTTTAACAGATTTTATTTAATACTTCCAATAATCAAAATACCTTACTGCATTTCAAAAAATTAATTTAAATTGACTGGGAGTTTTTTTTTTTTTTGTGTTTCTTTTGCTAAAATAGCTGATTAGCACCTTTTTTAGTCATTTTCATCGCAATGTAATTCTCTTTATTAAAAAATCTTCCAAAAATAAAATACACTTTTCTGAAATTTTATTTGAGGAATATTACCTTAGTAAAGTATAATTAATCTTATTTGAAACAAAATTTTAAGTTTATAATATCGTAAAAATGCATTTTTAACCAGACTGTAGTTGTTTATTTAATTTGTTCGCGGGTTTGACAGCTTGATATTTATTGAATGTTGTTCTATGGGAGCTTTAGGCATTAAAAAAGGTAATTGAATTAACGTGAGAGCGTTTTATATATCATTTTTAAGTACTCAGTAATCTTAAAAAGTCAAGAAAATATTCTCCGTAATCTAATATTTATTTAATTTTAAATATTTTTAGCTGTAAATTTACTTTAGTTATCACGCTTATTTTCTGATAATGTCGTGTATGGTCGACCGTATATAGAAAATCGACACATTTATACACAGAAAAAGAATTCAAAATTCTTTTTAAAGTATTTGGGTTTGATCATTTGTAATTTCAATTTATGATTAGTAATTAGTTTTCACTAATAAAACACTCGTAGAAGAGCAAAACATTGTGCGTTGTACAACAACATGACTAAAGTTAATTTTATCACAAATTCAAAGAGAAACATCACGATTTCTACAGAGGGCGGTAATTGCACTGATTCCCATTTAATATACATCGTCCAATGTACCAAACATGACTTGACGTGGGTTGCACAACGGAAAAATTAAATAAAAAATTTAATGAACACAGGTATGATGTCAGGCAAAATGTGACATCAACGGAGCTTGCAGAACATTTTATTACTAACTATGACTATGATTTATATTTATCTTAAGGTGCAGATTCTGAAAAAATATTCAGAATCTACCGACCTGTCGACCCTTAAATGTGTCGGAGTTAACTCCTCCTTCAGTCCGTTAACCCTTTCACCAGGGGTCTCTCTTCCCTGGCTATAAATAGCCGCTGACTCTTCACCTCCCTCTCTTTTTCCTTCAGGATTTCAGCTATCAACCTCGAAATGTCGGCGCTAACAAGGAATAGCGTGGAAACACGCTAAGCACAATACACACACACGCACGCACATACAGAATATTCACACACGCACGCACATACAGAATATTCACACACACTTCGTCCTTTGTACTGTTTCCATGTATTGTAACTTGTTATTAATATATATTTGTATATACATATATTATCGGTCTTGTGTTTTGTTTGCTCTTCTTTGCCTTCTTCTTTGGTCCAACCTTTTTATGTAGTTGGGCCCGGCGGGCAGGAGTATCTGAACCTTACTTGCGTTTCTTCTACGTCTGACTTCTATCAACAACATAACAGCCACGCCCCCTCTACAAATGCATGCGGATGGTTACGTATGCAAATTATTAACTTCCTGGCTCGGGGGAATGAATAGAATGGCAGGAGAGTTCCACAAGATTTATACTAAGCTGTTTGATTAATTCCTCTTAGTAACACATCAACTAACGGAAAATTTTAAGATGAACACGATAACCATCATTTTAAAGTTGCATGCCTTCACGCGGGCGGGGTTTCATTTGTTTTGACGCGTTCATTACCACTACATCCGTTTTTCATTACAAGAAAAGCAACGTTTGTACAAAAATTTATAATTTTTTGCAGATTTATATATTTTTATACTTGAATTTTAAAAAAAAAATATAACTTGGAGAAGACAGACATTCTGTTGAAATATTGTTTAACATTGTCAAATGCTGTCTATCACTCGTCCCTTCAGCCCCTCAGCCTCCGGCGTGTTCCTCTTTGGGTTGAGGCGCCCACTCGGTCTGAACCGAACTCAGGGGTAGCTGGCTGCACGCTCCCTGAGTACTCGTAGATTGTTCGACCGGTCACTGGCCAAGTTCCGCCTGCTGCCCACGTTGTGTTAGTTTTTAGATCCAGTAAGCGGGCTGTTATCCATACGTTCCCGGTCGATCGGGAATGTAGGCGCGGCTGTGAGGGTGGACAGCAGGAAAATTAGTATGTGGCAAACGAGGAAATAATATCTGCAGAAGCCGAACAGCAATGGGTAAAATATTGATGTCTTTTATATAAGAAAACAACAACAGTAGAAAGAGTTTACAGAAAGGATAGAAAAGCAATTAACATAAGAACAGAGGACCACTTCTCTACCAATTTTACCAACAGAGAGAGATGTGTGTGTGTGTGTGATTAACTCGTTCCAAATCAACTTGGGAGGATATGTGACTCGTAATTCCAGCCCTACGTGGAAGTGTAGCTTTTCAGTTGGTTGTCGTAAGTAACAAACGTTAAGTTTCAGCGACTTTTCAATGCGACTGCTACAACGACGATGATATTTCTTGAAGTCCTTATCTCTGACTCGCCACTGGACTGACTCACTTCAACGACAGTCTCTCTCTCTCTCTCTCTCTCTCTCTCTCTCTCTCTCAACGTCACTCTCGTCTAACGCCCAAGTCTCCCCAACTCAGCAAAACTCGCGTTTATATAGCAAACCGAAAGTTATAAGCCAGGTTGTTCACGCGCTTAACACGAGTGTCGCCATAAGCAAAGTTTAAATTCAGATCTATTTCAAATCTCTTAGTGGATAAAATTAATTAATTCAATGTTCGTTTCAATTGTCTTTTCGATGACCAAATTCAGCGGATACAACTTATGTTTAGATCAGATTTCGCTAGCGGTAAACATACACTGATCTTATCTCCCCGGTCCAATTTACTTCAATATGTTTTTATCAAAAATATTTTCGTCTATTTTTTTTTTAATGACCCAAATTAAACATCGCCTCCTTCCCTTTTGCATTTGTTTATAAACAAGTCCTCGCCAACCCGATTTGAAATTTATTCTTTATCCATCAACCGTCTCAGTTTTCATATATCATTGTTCTAGATTATTTGCTATTAATAGCGCTGACACAGTTTGTAACTTTCACGAAAGATCGTGTTTTCCATCTTCAATCAATAAACGTTATATTTGCGTGTGTGCATTAATGTGCGTCAACCTCTCTCTGTTACAACTGTGTTTTTCTTTTTTAATCTTTTCTTAAATCATTTTGTTTGTTAATAACTAGTTTTCACTTAATAATAATATCACCTAACCGGTACGAATTAATTTTTGGAGGATAATAATGATTTGCTGGTACAAGTCTGGAGAGAGAAGAGGTGGATTCATGCCTTTCCCAAGGTTATTTGCGCATAAGTGAATATAATAAACTGAGGTTGAAACTCTGCTTTTCAAGTTCCAATTCTGAACTGTTATCTATTACACCAGGTGCCCATTCAAGCATCTGGTATTCTCAAGCGATCACCCATCTAGGTACCGACCAAGGTCAACGTTGCTTAACTTCAGTGATTGTATGAGAATCGGTATTTCAACATGATATGGTTGTAAACCTTGTTTTATTTAGAATAAAAGTTTAAATTTAAAAATCACTGAACATGACAAAATTGTACAAAATTTTAAAAATAAAAGTAGTCACATTACATCTATTATTTTGACAACGTTCCACAGAGAAACAAATTGGAAACGATTATAATTCTAACATGTTTCGTCTTTGTTAAAGCTTCATCAGAGAATGATATGGAGAAGAAAGAAAAAATTCTGGTATTTTAAATTTTTGTTTGTTTTTTATTGGTTAAGCAGACTTCATGTGCATTTTGTTTTGTAAAGCAGTGTTTGTGTGTAAATTTATGTGTGTAAGTCTATCATGATTCTAGTTTGTCTGTGTGGGATTCGGATGATAATGTATATTCATTTGTGTGTGTGTAGCCATTTTTATTTATGCATGGTGGTTGTCTCCATGTTGATTTGGGGACGATTTACATAACACCATTTGTCGTGGTGGTTTTAGTTTAGGTAGACATATTTTAGATTCTTTAAGTATAGATTTTATAAAAGTTGGTGATGTAATATAGTATTTTTATACACACTCCATGCATAAATATAAATGCCTACAAGACACAAAGACAAAATGCATATGTAGTCTGCTTAACCAATGGAAAACAAACACAAGAATTAAAAATACCAGAATTTTTCTCATTTCATTCTTTGATGAATCTTTATTTGTTCCTTATACTATTAGTCTGTCAGATCCCAATTTATTTCCATTTATATATGATCAGCTATGCCCGATTTCAATGTCACTCACCTGGCAGCTTTTCAATGTACCCTCACTGTATATTTTAGTGGGTGAATAGTCTGTTCTTTGTTTTTTGCCACACATACATGGCATTAAATACACACAGATCTTGATCATCTTTTCTTCCAAGGATGTGTGGGACTTGGCTAGTGAGAGATATCTTCAAAGAATTGAAGTGTTTTTGAATAGCATCCAGATATTGTCTGAACATTTGAATATTTTCAGGTGTATTACTTATGTATCGCAGAATTTATGTCAATATTCTTCATTATTCTATTATTCTTTGTTTCAGGTAATAGCAAAAGAAGTGCCTTTAGTAGAAAAACTATATGGAAAAAGAAAGAAATTAAATACTCTAATAGACTTTAAGTTTGGATTTGGGAAACATACAGAGAGGAATATGCATGGATAAAATAAAGAAATAATCTTCAGCATGGCTCCACAAATTTAAATATAATAGCATTAAATTTCTTTCAAATTGAAAGAAATGAATTACAAAGATTCGTTGCACAACTTCTTTATGATACAACCAAATCAACTGCATTAGTATAGAAGAAACCGAATGCATCTACATGTGAAGATGGATCATGTATTTACATTGTTTTATGTATGTGTAATTTCATAGCAGCTGATAGAGGAAAGATTGTATTATTGATACTACTGCTAAAATCTGAGTTGACAAGTAACTTGATTTTGTATGTTTTTCTAGTGTCAAAATTACTAATCATTTTTTGTAATATATTATACTCAAATAAATGTGCAAAAATGTTAGTAATTAAGGTTTGAGAATTTCAGTTTGTACAATGAATGACTGATTGACCCTGGTCAAAGGTAAACTGAAAAACTAATTCTGTGAACAAATATGATCGCTTTTATAACTGAAACATCAGCTCCAGAAAAAAAAACAAAAAATGAGATTTTATGAAACTAATAAGTTTATTGGTTAATAAATATTTTCCAATTTTTTAAATATCTATATTAAAGATGGAAAATAGTATCAATCATTTTCTGAAGTGATACTACAAAATTTCATAGTAGAGTATATAGTCATCTAAAATTTCATAGGTCTTTGCACTTTTACTAATAATGTCGCTGATTGGTTTATATGAATATAGAAATTCAAATTTGGAGCTGACAAAAGGCACAAAAATGAGTCAATTTTTGTGTGAGCTGGGTTTTATATATATATAAAAAAAAAAAACAAGTTTCCAGTGACAGTACTTAAACATACAGCATTTTTCTACAATTCTATAGCAGGGTTTCACATATATTACAGAGTAAATATTCTTAGCAATATTCATAAAGTGATCATTTACTAAATGTAAATTCACACTAGAAAAAAAATCTTACCACAATTCTTTATGTGTAGATTGCTAGGGAGTATCAGATGCAAATAAAAAAAAAAAAAAAAGCAGAGAAACTCCAAACAAAAAAGTTTATTTTCATGTATAAAATGCACTTGATCTTAGACAAAAACCCCCAAAAAACCCAAGACATTTTGTTTACTTTTGTGATTCATAAACATTACAAAAAACACTGGTAATTGGGGATTTGTAAAAATAATTAATTTGAAACAGTCATTAATTGCCTTCCAATAAATTTTTTCATGATTTTTATTTTGAAATTATACATATTTTTTTATTGCAAATAATACTTTTACCTTTGAATGATTTCAAAACTCACATAGGCATTTTGACTCAACAAAATCCAGAAAATGTATGGAACCATATGAAACACTATGAAAGATTTATCTCTCTTTGTTGAAATACATCATTAGGTAGATACTATCTCTGCAATAAACAAATTTGACTTAATTTTGTCCATTTTGAGTCTGGGGAAAAAAATGAGATAGAGGTCTGAAGTATAAAACACAGCAGACATTTGGACATGATTTAGAATGAAAAAACCATTGATTTATACACACAGAATTACAATAATTTAAAAATTGACAACTGTCTTGAAGTCTTTTTCAAAATTTTATTTGACAAGGCTAAAAAAAATAACTATTCAAAATATGATTCTAGTATGTCAATGATATTTTAGCTGACAATACAGGTTGAGTATTCTTTATATGAAATTCCAAAACCCAAAAGTTTTTCAGGTGCTGACACAACTTGCCACAAATGAAAAATTTCAGAAAACAAAATGGCTACCCATAGCGTGATTATTGCATTGCAGTACTACAAATAAAATGCTGACTTTTTTCAGTTTTCATTACATTTAACTGTAATCAGAATCCATGTTTTGTATTATAACATTTTAATCAAACCATGACATCGTTGGTAGAGACTGATAATTTACGAAATTTTCCTTCAAGCACTCAGTGATGTCATTGATGATGTACCTTCTCTCTTCAATTTCTCACACCTGATCTAGAAGTAGAATTTGGTGTTGCATTTATATATCTTTTGTAAGTAATCATAATGTTTTTTGTACACGTACAGAAAGTACAAATCATTTTTACATGAAATCTTATTTTACCACTTAAAATCCATCTGACCATTACATGACTAGTGTCATTACATGTATGTACACAAATTTATTAAATTTTATATAAAACTACCTTCAGGGTATATGTATAAGCTGTGTTATAAAATGTAAAGGGAGATCATGTTTATGCTTGGGTTCCATTCCAACGCTGCCCCATTTTATAGATGCTATATACAAATTAAATAGCCTGTATTCCAAAATTTAAAAAAAAAAATCTAAAATACAAAGCAATTTTGGTCCCTAGAATTTTGGGTAAAGGATACTCAAGTTGTATTAAATACAAAAAATTTGTTAAATAATTTTCTCATTTGGGATTTACTCAGCTGTCACCTTGTACACAGAAAGAAATAAAACTGTCAGTGGTTGAATTTTTCAGTTTTGCGTGCTTTTTCGGTCTTCAGCTCAATCTCAGTTTAACTTTTAGTGTGGGTCATTGATTTATTCAACTGTGAACACTATCGTAAAAATAAAAATCAATTTTCTTTTCATATTTACTAAAGGTTTTGGCACGGATATTTTTCTACTTTCTCCTACATCGCCACATCCATGTTATATAAGAGGTGGTGAGAGAGAGTACAATGTTTATTTGTTCATAAACATATTGAGGTTAATAATATTATTTTAACATGCAAAATTTGCTTTCCATATTCATCTGAATACAGTGAGAAGCTAAAAAGATCCCAGCCCTAAACTTTCCCAAATTTAAATGACACAACATTGGGATGAGAGCTGTCAGTAAATCTGATACACATGTTAAAAAAATATTGCAAAGACCATCAGCATTACCTCCAGAAATGTATTATTGCATACATTAAAAGATCTGACTATATTTCTGAAATGAGGTATTGTAACTATTTACACTATTTAATCGAAACTGAGATATCCAAAAGGAAAGTCATGGCAAATGAAATTAAAACAATCTACTCCCATGGACTAAATGAAGGGTTTAGCTTGAAATTCTAACGTATATCACCTGAAGAAGGTTGGAGCATATAACGTCTGAAATATCATGAATATGGCAATAAAGATGAGGACAACAGCCTAAATGATGTAAATAATGTAAATCATTGTATCTGAATAATTTTTATCTTGTTCTGGGAATTGTGAGTGTTTGCATCATATTTATTCTGTTAAAACAAAAACCTGAAAGTTAAATATGTTGCTATGAACATGAATTCCTATTTCAAAGAATATTTGTTTGCAAGGAAATACTGTTTGTCTTTCTGACCTTACAACATCAAGAATAATTAAATTATTATAAATTATTGGAGGAATGTAGTGCATCATTAACTATATTTACACTATTTATTCAGAATACTGCTCTCATCTTTGTTGCTTTTATCACAACATTTCGGCTGTTGTACCCTCCAGTCTTCTTCAGGTGTATATCAATCAGGGTAACTTACGGGGAATTCTGAACTGAACTATGACATTGGCCTAGTGAATAAAAGCATTGATTTTTGAATTTGGTGACATAGTGGTTGTGAGTTTGATTTCTGAGTCAGGCAGTGTGTACTATCACTCAGTGGAAACAGGCAGGCAATAACTAAACATTACTAAATAAAAATAAGATCTACACGATATCCCTAGACATAAGCAGTGAAATGAAAATAGTCTACTCCCATAAATTAAATAAAGGTTTTAGTTCAGAATTCCTTGTAGGTAACTAAGATCAATATATATCTGAGTAAGACCCAGAGGACATAACAGTCAAAACGTGAAAACAAAAACAAAGATGAAGACAATATTCCAAATATAAA